TTCCCTTCAATTCGTTGATCATCAATCTCTTTATTATTTGCGCTAACTAACCTAATATGTCAACACATCCGTGTTAGGCCCATATGCTATAACAGTAAACGATCATTCTCGGTATGAAAAAATTGTCCACGTAATATTAAAACATTAATAAGCTACGTATATTGGACATGCGCGGTGTACTTGTCCTCGGGCCGGGTTGTATGCCTAATACGACTATAATATACACAACCATCGTACTCATCGAACGTTTATACGGTCGTAAGTAGTCGTAATGGCGTATAATTATTGATATTAATTTATGATGATGACGATGATGATAATGCACGCGATATCTGACGAGGACATCGATGACGACCGTGGTCACCGAATATCCGAATTATCCGTAGTATTTTATACCATTAGTTCACCTGATGCCCTTCCCCGCAAAAACTAGTATAGATATTAGTATGTTTACTTATTGTTGTTATATTATTGTGAGTTCCAGAACGACGGCGATGACATTCCGGTTTTCTTTTTTTCCGTATAACTACGTAATATACATCATTATTCATTTTAATATAATGTCATTACATTATTACCTATATGATGTACTTAAACGGCAAGAAATACACTTTCTAATATGGTGGTTTTTTTCTCATTGTTCCAAGAGTGATATGTTCACCTTCAAAAAAAAACCCTCAAATTGTAAACACTGATAAAAACAAACAAACAAACCTATTATTTTCCGCTGATTTTTTTCTCGCTTCTGTCCCTATACCGGCGTAAAAGGCCACACACTCATTGCGTGACAGTCAGAGGTCGACAGCGTTTTTATTATTCTCAAMATTTTTTTCCACGTGCTACGTTTCGTTCCACCGAGGAGCTAATGCGCACTGTGCAGTAATAAAAACAAAATCGGAAATACGACAAAAAAAATGTCACCCAACCTTCCGTTTTACACACGGAATATTACGAAATACCTTTCATGTTGTTATTATTATTATTATAAAGAAACAATGACTGTATACGCTACATACCAGCAAGTTACAGCAATAAAACAATTACACGCGATTATTGTATTATGTTATACTATAATGTATTTTACAAAGACAAACACTCTTTATAAGCGGACATTTCCGAACACGCGTTCGGTATTGTTGTAAATTTGTAATATATTTATCATTCCATACGGCGATGAGATCGGAGTAACGTTTTGGGTGTCATCAGTGCGCGGTGTCCGTGACCGATATGAGACGGCGCGGACGAGTTGTCATGATGAAAACTAAAAAATATGCAATAGCGAAATACCGCTGTCACATGACGTAATAATTATATATGATTACATTGCGTCTCTGCGTAACGTGGGCTAACAACAACGTAAGTTGTCATAAAAATAGATAATATTTTCGTTATATAGGCTGGCCGTCATTTCGTTCATCGATCGAATATCTTTAGATCTGCTATCAATCCATGGCTTCAGAATGAAAAGGTTCTGGATAGTGACTTTTCAAAAAATAACTTTTTAACTAATATTTATAAAATTTTATAATTTTTTTTAACTATATAAAAATATTTCTTTCAACTCACTTATATAAATACATTTTTATCGATAAATAGAATATATAGAGAGATTAATATATCAAATATTTGATCTAGCGGTCATTATTATTTGATGATAAAAAGGTTCCATATTTTAAGTTACATATAAATCAGTAAAAATGTTCTTATAATATTATGTTATAGATTACTGTCTTCATTGCTTCATTATCGATATAATAATAATTATTATTATTATTTTTATTTTTTATTATTCGTTCAAATGAAAATAATTATACATCAAATAATTAATCACGAAAATTTTTTAAAAGCAAAATCAATAATTATTAATAGTATTTGCTTGTTAATGAACCTATATATAATTATTATATCCTTAAACTCAATCTAAACTTAATAAAAATATATTTTATAGCTTAATAAGTTATCATTTAWTTGTCATTTTTTTCTTTAAGTACCTATCTGAAAAAATATTGTGATCAATCAAAGAAGTAGGTTCTAAAAAGTAAATATTATGCATTTTCAACAATTTCAAAACCTACCCATAGAACCTTTTCATTCTTATAGGATACGTATGTAGCGGTAGTTGACATAGCTGGTACGTGATAAATAATAATGAATTCAGTCGCTACACTTTTTAATATACAAGGAGAGGGGCGCTATGTATAATTACTAACTACTAATTAATGACATATAGTAATAACAGTTACTTGTAAAATATAATAATAAATTTACAAGTTAAGACATATTAATGATTAGGTACTATAATGATTAGCCTGGTAGATAAAAAAATCTTTTTTCAAGATACTTAWAAATATCAAAAACCTACTGTTTGTTTGACAGATAAATAAAATGAGTTGTACCTATCGCTCGAAAATGTCATACTTCATTACTTCAATTACAATGATAACATTTTATTGGCCATGGTGTGTGTACTTTATGTGTCGTAGGTGAAGCACAATATATAAATATAAGCAAATATTTAACATATTGCATGAACCTTACACTTATATTTAATTATATCGTGATTGTAACTCAATCTTTTTTCTTTAGTGAGGACATT